CACCTGGGCGAGGAGGAGGCACTCACCTGGGCAGGGAGGTGCTCACCTGGGTGAGGAGCAGGCACTCACCTGGGCAGGGAGCGGCTCACCTGGGCGAGGAGGCGCTCACCTGGGCAGGGAGGCGCTCCCTCAGCAAGGGTTTCCTCCTCCACTGCCAAGCTCTGTCCTGTGGTGCTCACCTGATGAGCGGTGCTGCCATGTCGCAGGTGCTGGACACATGCGCTCCCCCTTGTCTCCACAGGAATCTCCGAGAACACGTGGCTGCTGTTCCTGCCCCTTCTCCCCGTGAAGACAAAGACCCCAGTGGTCCTGGGCATTGGGGTGTTCGTGCTACTGCTGGACATCTTCTGCCTCCTAATGCTCGGGCCGCTGCTCGTCTTCCACCTCTACCTGAGTGCGTGTCCCCCGGGGCCCGCCTCCAGGTTGGCCAGTCTCTGCCCCTCGTGTTCACATGTGTCCCAAGGCAGGTGGCCCCTCAGTCGGCCTCTGCCAGGAAAAAGCTCAAAGCACACAGGACACATCACAGGAAGAGAAGAAACACCCAAGAGGGGCAGCAGGTCCAGCAGTGGCTGAATTCTGTTCTGAGACCTGCAGAAAACATGAAAGAGATTTGAGTAGTAAGTTCAAGTGTTCAGAGAGAGAAAGGAACAGAATTTGTGAGGCAGGAACAGGACACTATGAAAAAAGAACAGGGGATTTAGAAAAACGCCCAGCAGAAATCCTAACAAGGAAAAGCATTAAACTCAGTGCCAGGGTATCCACTCACCAAACATGTGCAGAGAGAACCGGTGGTTTTCTCGTGTCTACATGGTGGCTGCACGTGGAGGCTTCTCTGTGTCCTTTCCTCAGAAGTCACCACAGTTGCTCTCTGCAGCCTCTGAGAGAAGGCGGCACCAGGAGGAACCCAGAGGCTATGGGAGCGGGTCTGGTGTGGGGAGCGTCCCCAGCTGAGGCAGGGAGTGCACGGAGACGGCGCCCAAAGCCCAGTCCGCTGAGGCTCTTCCCAGAGCTTCCGAGTGCATGGGAGGGGCTGGGAGCCGTGGGGCGATGGGGTCAGGGATGCATTTTGGGGATGGCACCCCAGCAGCAGCGTGTGCACCTGCCTGGAGTGTCTGGGAGCCTGCTGCAGCCACTCAGGAGGTTTGTGATGAGTTCACAGGGGAAGAGATGGGCCTGGAGGACCCAGATTCACAGGCCTTCATGACCCCCTGGGGTCGGATGTGAGGACAGGGGCCTCCGACTCTCACTCGGCCAACCAGGAGGACAGCAGTGTCACTCCCTGTGCATGGGGACACACGGGAGACCCGCAGGGAGGGGAGAGACACGCTGAGCTCAGGCCGGCACATGTCGACCTTACAGTGTTCGGACATCAAAGAACAGATTTCCAGGAAAAAGCTGCAATATTAGTTATTGTTAGTTAGAGTAAATTACCTAAACGTAGCCGCTTAAAACAACACGTTTATTACCTCACAGTTCCGTGAGGTGGGCGTCAGCTCTGCTCAGCGTGGTCCCCTGGCCCAGGGTCTCTCACGAGGCTTCAGTCAAGGTGCCAGCAGGGACACGGTCTCATTTGACGGGAGAGGACTCACTTCCAGGTGCCTCGGGTCCTTGGCAGGGTCAGCTCTTTGCCCTGGCTCCTCGTGAGCTGCTAGCCAGTGGCCTCCTCCATTCCTTCTCGTGTGGACGCTCCACAGAGGATCTTGCAGCAGGACAGCTGGCTTCATCCAAGGAGCAAATGAGAAGGCAGCAAGGCAGAAGCCAGCCTTTTGCAGCCCAGTCCTGGAAGTGATGTCCCTTCACCTTCTCTGCAAGTCGCTAGGACCAGCCCACACTCCAGGGACGGGACTGCACAAGGCGTGCGTGCCCTGAGGTGGGCAGTGCTGGGGACAGGTCAGAAGCTGCCCCAAGTTGGGTGCTGCATTTTGAAGCTCGGGAGAGGGACATTCTGACGAGTCCTCAGCACATAAGTGGCGTGAAACCGCTGGTGAGGGCCAGATCTCCTGGGAAGACGTGTGGACGCAGAGAGTGCCAGCAAGAGGTGTGAGGAAAAGCCACACTCACGGCCAGTGGAAGAGAAGGCATCTCGGATGATATTAAGGAGGAGCAGGATGCCACAAATTGCCCCAAGCTAATGTGCGGGCACCTAATAATGTTGGAGGAAACAGGTGCACGGTCACCTAGCACACACTGCACTCTGGCCTCCAAGTTCCTCGCGTGTGAGGCATAAAGCTGTGTGACTCTATCTCCTCCACGACTTTACCATCGCTGCCATATTAAAACGTTTTACAGGAAACTTGGTCCAAACGAGTGTGAGCTCTGGGACACACAGGGCATGCTTATAAATCTGATTTTGATGGTATTTGTGCAAACTCACGCAAAAGAATGACTATTTTCACTAGCAATAAACAAGTGCAAATTCACATCCTCAAACTCGGACACAGGTTCTGAGGGAATGTGGAAGAATGGACCAAGGGCCAGCTAGAGTTAGTCAAGAAAGATAAGTCAAGCCCAAACAAAACAGAAACACAAGCCCTTCAGAACCTGCCCAGGAAGGGCTCCTTCCTCAGATGCCCACCTGCCCGGCAGGCAGCCTCTGTGGGCTGCACGGGGTGCAATGGGGCGGCCCGCCGCTCCCTCTGCTCCTCGAGCTGCAAATAGCCTTCTGTGGGTGGCCCTTTTCACTTCCCAGAAATGACTACAAAACATCTGTTCTCATGCTTGTTGGTTTTTAGAGAAAAAGAAATGGAAAGTTTGGCCCGTCCATGGAACACAAGGCTAAAATAGTCACAGAACCCATTTTCATGAGTACTTCTTTTTTACCGACAAACCTGTATCTCAGGTTTTCTTCTAATAACCTCAGGTGCTTCTGCCACATGCTGCACAGCCAGCGGCTCAGCTTAATTAAAACGGAGCTGGACGCAGCGCTCGCCGCAGGTTCATGTTTACCTTCTGGGCCTGTGAGGCAGGCAGGGCAGCCGCCTCAGGATGGGGGGCCAGTGAGCCTCAGGCAAGTGCAAGGAGCTGCTGGCTGCTACCCAAAAGCCAGGTGGGCTCTGGAGTGGCCGTCCAGCAGCTCCTCAGTGTCCCAGGGTAGGAACCGGCTCCCGCCCCAGGTGGGGAGCCCTGGGAGGCCACCCTGCCTGCTTGTTGTTGGGCCCTACGCACAGCTGATGGACGGTAACCCCGCCCTCTGCCTTCTTTCTCCTTTCTAGGGTCCAGGAGGTTGAGCACATTTGATTATACGATGCAGCGCCGCCTCCAAGAGACTTCAAAAACCTCAGAAGGGGAGAAAGGGTCGTCCACCCAAATAGAAATGCCACAGGTACCGGATGTCCCTCTGTGTCACCATCCATGTTTGTCCAGGGCTGGGGCAATGCCCAAGGTGGCCTTGCAGCTAGGACCTCTTAGCCATAACCCTTTGCTTCTAGACTGGCACAGTCCTATGATTCTGTGTGTGTGAGAGTGTGCATGTGATGTGTGATGAAGGGCATGTTTGTGTGTGTTTGGTATCTGGTGTTCACGTGTGTGTTATAGTATTTCTAAGTATACTCCTCACAGGATCAAGCCAGCAATGCTAACTCGTTTTAGGCCCACCCATTTCTGCAACTGCTCCTGATCAAATTAAAAAAACATTTGCTCTTCAAAGTTCACGATTAAGACATTATGAAAACATAAGCCACAGAAAGAAATAAAATATTTGTAAATCATATACTTGTATCCAGAATATATTAAAAACTTTCAAAACTCAACTATGAGAAAAATGACCCAATTTTTAAAACAGGCAAAAGATTTGAACAAACTCTTCTCCAAGGAGGATCTGTGGGTGGCAAATAAGCACTTGAAAAGGTGGTCGACAGCCTTCGACATTAAGGGAGTGCAAATTAAACCACAATACGATACCACTACACACCAGTCAGAATGGCCAGAAGCAAAGAGACCAACAATACCAGGTGTTGGGGAAGCTGCAGAGAGGGAAGGCTCACACACTGCAGTGGGGATGTAGAATTACACCACTTTGGAAAGCAGTTTGGCATGTTCTTAAAACAGCAAGTATATTCTTATCATTTGACCCAGCAATCCCACTCCCGGTTTCTTACCAAAGAGAAGTGAAAACACGGATACATGTCACAAGTGTGGAGAGGAAGGGTCTTCTCCCCCAGCGAGATCCTTTCCTGGGACCCAGGAGACACTGAAGTACCATCACTCAGCATCAACTAATAATTGACTTGAACGTTGTGGAGGAATAAGCTCACCATCAACAACTTTTTCTCATTTTGTGAATTTTCGTTTATCCCCCACAGCACGCAGGCGAAGGCCTGAGTTCATCTGCACAGGGGTAAGTTGTCATCTTACTAGAGTTGTTTTCACTGTCTGAAAAATAGCTGTAGTCTCGTTTCAACTGTCTTGCTTTAAAAAGTCTTCTTTACTCCAAGGTTATACAAATATCCTCCACATTCTTTGCTAATATTTGCATAATTTTTATTTGCTTTCTGTACATTTTGATTTTCAAGCCATCTTGAATTTATTTTTGTATTCACTGAGATAGGAGCCCAGGTCATTTTATTACAATATAACTCTTGGTGGCCATCTCGTTGATGAAATGACCCCCCTTTCCTCATCAAATCGAAAGGCCCCTTTTCTGGCACCCCAAATTCCCAGGAACACTAGGCTCAGATCTGCTTCTGGACGCTGGTGTCCGTCTCATGGCTCTGTGCCCTACACCCACACTGTGCTGTTTTAGTGATAGGATTTCATTTAGCTGCCTTTTACTATCTGGTAGGACGAACCCTGCTCTCCAGGTGTTTTTCATCACCTTTGAGAATTCTTTCACATACTATTTTCCACATGCACTTTAAAATCGCTTTGTGCAGTTCCAAGAAACCTAGAATTGGAACTGCAGTTGCAGCCAATCTTCACCTGCACGTGGGAGGGACCAACGCTTCCTCCCCAGCACACAACCACGCCTCTCTGCAGGGTAACGACACGGGAAGTCCGTCTCCCCTGGGTGGTCAAGGGGCCGGAAGTGCTGGCCACAGCCTTCCCGAGGAGTGCTCCGAAGCCCCACCCCTTCCCGGAAACCTGCCGTGGGTAGCTGGGCTCCGGGCGGAGAAGGTGGGGCCGGGGCTCTGGGGGCTCTGCGGTGCACCAGCCTACAGCGCACGTGGCAGAGACTCCAGGAGGCAGAAGAGGGACGCTTAGGGGAAGTGCACCGTTAGTCAGTTTCTCAAAGGCTGAGAATTACTTCCGATTTTTGCTCAGGTTAACAATCAGGGAGTATGGCTTGGTGTGAAAAGATCATTCATTCACTTTCAAATAACCCACTATTTTTCTTGGAAATTTATTTCTTTAGAAACCCGATTGGCAATACTGTTGTGAAAATTTAAGTGATTCGAATTTCACTTTGAAGTATGGTCTACCTTAAATCTAAGGACGTTTTGCTTTTAGCTCTTCCTGGCGAGAATCACAGAAGCCTAACTGGAAGTAGGAGGTCCGCGCACACTCCGAAACCAAACCAAACAAACCTAACCTGTTTCGGGTCGCCTAATCAGTGCATATCCGTTATAGAAATTTTGGACACAGCAAAAATTCCCATTGGGAAAACGAGTGTCACTCATAGTTCCCTACCCACCGATAGCCACTGCTGGCATTGTGATTAGTATCTTTGAAGTCTTCCTTTTTAATATTTTTCTTATTATTAAGAAAATAATATACATTATATACATAATGCATCATATAATGTTTTGTTTTATAAAAATATAATTGCATTATACGACTCTTTGGAAGCCTTTTTTTTTTTTTTAAAGATTTTATTTATTCCCCCCAAAGCCCCAGTGGATAGTTGTGTGCCGTAGCTGCACATCCTTCTAGTTGCTGCATGTGGGACTCGGCCTCAGGATGAACGGAGAAGTGGTGCCTCGATGCGC